AGCTAACTGTGACTCCACCACCAAATTTGTTTCCTTATTTGGTTTTGGCTCAGGAGAGGGCTACAACACCCCAGTTTTACTGCTATGACACCCCAGTTTTACTGATATTACCCTTAAATTTAGATTTTTGCATTCTTCGGAAATTCTAGAGTTAGAAATTAAAATCCTTAATTTAAAAAAAAATGACAATTGTGTTGCCATGTGAGTGAGAGTGAGACATATGACTGAGGTCCACGAAGCTCCCGGGTGGTCTAGGGGGGTGAAGGTTCTAGGAGGGATGAAGACAATCTATTTAGGGAAGGTGAGCATGGGTGCAGATGAGGGTTCCATGGGGAGAAGTGGGGGATGGGCTGGGGTGGGGGTGGGAGCCACGTGTCAGATGCAGGTTACTGTCAATCATGGTGAGTTTGTGGATATTTATTTCATTATTAAAAATAACTCATTAAAAAAGCTAACTACCAAAGAGCACGCTGTGCATGGGCCATGCCGGAAGTATCTCAGGAGCCAAGGACCATGATTAATGCAGTTCTAGCCACTGGAGGGCCAATGGAAAACGAACAATAAAAAATGAGTCTGCTTCAAACAATGGGCTGAGAGTTAGATTCCGTCACATGCACGATTTCTCTCACTGTTTTTTCCCTCACTGATCTTTCCCAGGCACCATTTCCCTTCTCCATGTCAATAGCAAGTCTCCTCATGCCGGTCATCTTTGCCCCCTGTGGTCTCGTGTGTTAGGGACAGGCTTACTCCTTTGGTGGGCACCAGTCTCATTAGGGCAGAGGAGGTCTGGGCCTGCTTCAGGGAAAAGGAGACGTGTGCGCACTGGGAGTAGGGGACACTCCTCAGCCAATGGGCTGGCATTTTACACTGGGGTGGGAAGGGAGACCCTGTCACCAAGGTCACCCTGACACTATTCTCACACTTGGAACTCTCTGCTTTGAGGATGTGGGCATCTTTTATTTGGGCATTGACTATTCATTGAACAATTGCAATTGCCCGCAATTGGGAGGGATGCTTTGCCATTCTAGGACAAGTGCCAGGCCCTCGAGGATACAGACACACAGGCTAAGGACTCTCTGTGTGTGCTTGTATAGCAACCCTGCCACCCCCCACCCCCAAGTTTCCCCTGATAGCTCTGGTCATATCACAGGATGAGTATCAACTGTGTAGGATACTTGTGTAACTGAGAGACACTGGGGATAAGGTAAAGGGCACAGGGGCTCTGCAGTCAGAATGACCTTGTGTCAAGTCCCAGAGTCCCCACTATAAGGCTTTGACAAGTCGCAAACATCTTTTTAATTTCGCCTTCCGGTAAGCCTCGGGTTTCTCATCTGTTGATTGGGATAACAATCCTTAGAAGACTGTGTGAGAATTAAATGAGATAATTCATAACAAACATTTTTTTTACTTCTGTCCCATAGTAAATGTCCAGTAAATGGTCTCTATTAGAATTATTTTCTTAACACACTAGGATCTGTAAGTCATTTATGTCTCCACAGGGCCCAATACCAGCTGACACGTTCATTACCTGTTTGTTGAATGAATGAAGGAATGTATGCCCTTTAAGAATGAGACCCATGTTCCACTACTCTTCAAACACTTCCTTCCTTTGTCGCTGGTGTTGGGGATGGAACCCACGGCCTCCTGCATGCTAAGCACACTCTACCACTGAGCCGCACCCCCAGCCCCAAAGACTTCTTTTCTTGTCAACCACAGCAGCTCTGGGCTGGGAAGGCTGTCTCCTGAGCTCTGAGCCCACACCTCTGGCCAGCACTGAACTGGAGCTGAGGGCCTAAGGGAGCAAGAGCCCTCCACTCTCCCACACAATCGTTCTCTTGCCAGAAACCAGAGCCACCACTGAACCACAGATTTCTATCGCTCTACAGGAGCTTCCTGAATGGTCCCAGGATGGTGACTGGCTGCAGATGCTCCTTCTTCCTGGGGGTCGGGGGAGGTGGAGCAGCCTCGAGAAGGCAGAAAGAAAGTACCCTGGCCAGCACCAGCGGCCAGACAGCAGGGTCCCTGAGACCGAGGACGCGGAGAGTCTGCTGCTAGCTGTATTGCCAGCCTACTGCTTAGCGCCCCCACCCCAACCCTGACATTTCTTCTCTTCAGTAGCAACAGAAACAGGATGCAAGCTTTGAGGACAAAGGAAAGGGAGACAGGAGCGTGGATGTGGCACCCCACACACTCCAGTTCCATCCTCCCGGCAGGCCCTGTGCTGGGAGAGAGCTGACTTTTAAAAGAAAGTAATCTATTGACACATAATAATATTCGCACATATTTATGGGGTACACTGTGATGTTTCCGTACATGTACACACTGGGTAATCATCAAATTAGGGCAATTAGCATATTCATCACCTTAAACATTCACTGTGTCTTTGTTGTGGGAACATTCAAAATTCTCTTCCTGCTCTTTAAATTATACAAAAGATTATCGTTAATTTGCCTCCTTGTCCCTGTGTCCCCTCCCCAGTCACACAGGCGAACAAGTAAAAAATCTGTTGTGGCCCTAGACTGGGGACAGCACTCGAGACCAGGAGGCAGGATGCTTGAGTTCCAATCTTTCCTTTGCTACTCACTGGCTACGAGATTGTAGACAAGCTAAACTTTTGCTCTTGGAAACTCAGGATCCTCATCTGTAAATGGGTACCATTATTCATCTCGGAGCCTGGTGTGAGGATTAGCAGTGATATAAATGCATATGCAGTGATCTCAAATGTGCCATTATGACCAAAGATTATTACTTCACACATTCACGGGCCAAGGGATGCAAAAGGCCTGGTAGATCCCAGCCCTGGATTCACTCTTGCTAAAAATAAGAATTTTTCTCATTTCCTTAGCTTGGTCAGCAGAGTGGAGAGACCCTGGCAGATCCCAGAAGTCCAGGTCCCTCGGATTCCACGTACACGGAGCAATTTAAGAGGCAAACAAAACATGAAAAGCTACTTGGAATTAACAATGGTCCAGATGGTAATGGTAGTTTGAAGCAATAAAACATGATAAATAGCTTCCTGCTGCTACTCCTGATCAATTTCAATATTTAATAATTCCAATGCCACCCCACCCCCTCATCTGGCCCCCTCCATGGGATCCTGTGATGACACCCCACATTCAGCTCACAGAGCAATACTTCTTCACTTTCTGAGGGCGTCAGCAAAAAGTGACGCTGCTCTACTGTCACATGAGCCCACTTGGTCCTCGAAATGATAATTAATCTGCCTACTTCTCCTGCAGGCTGCTCATCTCCTGCCTCTCCTGGTTACCAGGGGAGGCTGCAAGGGGGATGACCTGAAGAGATGCAGAGGGAGCACTCACCTTGTGAACCCATGACTCTTGGTATGCCCTGACTTTTGCTTTTGAATTAAAGAAATGGGAGCAGCAGAGAACTCTGAGGTCATCTTACTCAAGGACAAATTAGTAGGAAGAAGTGACCCTGAAAGGAAGCCCAGGTGACCAGGTGTTTGAGTTTTATCCAGTAGCCATGCCCCTGAGCCTCAGTTTCTTTCTCTGTGCAATGGACACAATTAGACCTACCTTCAGGAGAACTCTAGCCCGGGCCACCCATGTAAAGTAACTGACAGTGTTTGGCATGTGGGAGATGGCCAATGACTGGCACTGGTAGCATCATTACCAAACACGAAGGCAAGTAGAAAATGACTTCTGAGCACCAGAACCCTGAAGGGAGGGCTGCATTGCTGGGGTCTGGAAGTTTCTGGCCCACATGGGTGTACGTCAGCACCAGCTGCCGGACAGTTCTTTCCTAGGATTCTCTCCATGTAGTGTCTACTAATGAGATCAACTGCTTTGCCTGGTCAGTGATAACTCCCAATGCTTTCCTAGTCACATGAGACCTCAGGGCAACTCCCGAGGGCAGGCATTGTTGGTGCCATTTTACAGTCAAGAACTTGAAACTAGGAGGTAAAATGACTTTGTTGGCAGGAGATGGCATGGTCACATCCAATCTGGATCTCTCAACCTTCCTCTGTGCCCCTCTTTCTCAGGGAGGCCAGTGGATGGAGGAGGGGCATGGTGCCAGGGGGCCGCTAGCTCATAGTCACCATGTGATCTCGGTCACCTGAACTGTGGTTTACTCATCTGTGAAATGAGGCTCATAATGCCTTCTGCACTGGGTCACAGGGACACTTAATGAGGAATGTGCATGAAAAGACTTTGCAGTTTTGTGATGAGCTGTACAAACATCAGTGACGGTCATTGAACCTTTTTAGAAGAACACCTTCTATGAAGGGAAAGATCAGAAGCTTGTCCACCGAAAGGTGGATTCTCCTATAGAGTCCTTTACCACACGGCACAGAGGGTCAAGGGCGGATTCTTGGGTGTGACATTCAAGGTTTCCCACCACCCCATCTCCACGTCTTCTCTCTTCCCTTTTTGCTCCATGCCATCTGAGCTGGTTGGAGTGGCCTGAGCTCAGTGGCCTCTCCTGTGTGTCCATGCTCAGGCTGGAACACCCCTGCCAAAGTGTCCGTCCCAACCCCGCACACTGGTTCATCCTGCACAGCCTCTAAGAGGCCTCCCTTGGCCCTCCCTGGATGAGGAGCTTCCTCATACCCTCTCTGGTCTTGTCTCCATCCCAGCCCATGTCCAATATGCCAGCTTCGTTTTCTCATCAGCCTGCCACCTCTGCAGTGAGCTCCTTCCTGGCGGGAACCAACTGCCCTCCTCTCCAGTCTCCCCGGGGCCTGGCAGCCCATGCTCCCCGAGTGTGTGCCGAGCAGCCCTCACACAGCTGGCGTGAAGCCTTATGCAAAGGCAAGGAACGCTAATGACAGAACCAGAACGGGTGGGTGGGGGCGCGTGCCACAGCCTTGGTAGCGAACAGCGCCCTGGAACTTAAATTTGGCTCCATTCCTGGAGTGAGATCTAGAGGGGGTCGGTCATCTCCCTCCTTCCCCCTTAATGAGAAGAGACGAAAGGCACGTGTCCCTCTGTATCTGTGGGCACTCCACAAGGAGGGGGTGAAGGATCATTAGGTACCTGAGTCCCGCTGGTCCAGGGTCATGGAGTTCCACCTCCTCGTGATGTCAATGTACAGAATATCCACGGCAGCCATGGACAAGCTGCTGCTGCTGAGCTTGCAGTTCCTGCCAGAGACGGGAGAGCAGATGCGTGATGGCCAGGCTGAAACCCACCCGCCCGCGTTTCCTCCAAGCCGGTTGTGGACTGAATATTTGTGTCCCCCCAAGATATGTAGGTTGAAATCCTATCACTCCAGCATGGTGGTATTAGGAAGTGGGACCTTTGGGGCCTGATTAGGTCACAAGGGTGGAGCCTTGTGGATGAGACTAGCGTCCCTGTAAGAAGAGACCTGAGAGAACTTGCTCCCTCAGGTGAGGATCCGTGGGCAAGCAGCCATTTGTAAGCTGGAAACCAGACTCACATCAGACACCCATCTGCAGGTACCATTAAAAAAATTTACTGGTGAATTATTATTACATAATAGTGGGATTCACTGTGAAACGTTTGTACGCGCACATAGTGTCATTTGGTCAATTTCATTCTCCAGTACCTTCTTGTCCCCCCTCCTTCCTTCCCTGAGCCCCTTCTTCTAGTACACTGGTCTCCCTTCTATTGTCTGAGGTCCCCTTTCATCCCCGTTTTTCTCTCTCTGTTCCACAAGTGAAAGAAAACATGACCCTCGACTTTCTGATTTCATTTAGCATTCTCCAGCTCCATCCATTTTCTTGCAAATGACACATTTTCATTCTTTATGGCTGAGCGAAACTCCACTGTGTGTATATTCCACACATTCTTTACCCATTCATCTGTTGATGGGCACTGAGGCTGGCTCCCTAAGTTGGCTACTGTGAATTGTGCTGCTATAAACACGGCTAGGCGCATATCGCTGCAGTATGCTGACTTTAGTTCTTTTGCATAAATACTGAGGGGTGGTACGGCTGGATCATATGGTGGTTCCCTGCCTAGTCTTTTGAGGAGCCTCCATATTGATCTCCATAGTGGTTGCGCTAGTTTCCAATCCTGACAGTGTGTAGTTGTCCCTTCATCCCTGCCTCCTCACCAGCATCGATTATTTGTATTCTTGATGACTGCCATTTTAATTGGAGCAAGATGAAATCTCAGTGTGTTTGGATTTGCATTTCCCTGATTGCTAAATATGTGGCATTTTTTCATATATTCTTGCTGTCTGCCAGCACCCTGACCTTGACTGCTCAGCCTCCAGACTGTGAGGAGTCAATTCTTGTTGTTCACACCACCCAGTCTACGGTGGTCATTTTTTGATGGCTACTCAAACTGACTGAGCTGATGATGTCTTTGCTCAGGGGTGTTCTGTGTCTGGAGCCAGTGACGAAGGGTGGGGGGCAGGGGCAGAGAAGACGGGAATGGAAGCTGGGGCTGGAGGTTGTGGGCTCCTCTAAGTGCAGCCACTGGGTTAGTTGGGGGCTAATGGGCTGGAAAGAGCAAGGACATCAGGATGGCAAGTCTCTAGCGGACTCCGGGCTCTGCCACTGGCAAACGTTCGGCCCTGTGTAAACCATTTCAACTCCCTCGCCTTTGAAACGGGCAGGCTTTGTTACAATCACCGTGTCATGCTGACCTTACACGCCACGTAGGCTGCTGCTGCTCTGAAAGGGGAACGGAAGGCCGTTTCAAAAAATAGCTCTGTGCCTGTGTCTCCATCTTCCTATCGATTAGTCCTTGGGCGTGCGTCACTGCCCCCTCCTGCTGGTGTCCAGGCGGCTGCCTGTGTCACGCTCAGATGACCCAGTGATGACAGCACGTCACTGGCACAGGCTGAAGCCATCGCTGTGGTCCAGAAGCAGTTCCCTGCTGGGTCCTCACCCGATGAGTCCCTGAGGCCAAATCTCCAGACAGGGGCTCAACGTTTCTGTACTTGGCCCATCTTAATCTGTCCCCAGAAGATTTTACAGAAGCCTTGAATCAGCCACACTAAGCCCCAGATTGATGGAGCAGAGTGGCACAGCCCCTGTGTGGGGCCCACGCGGCACAGACATAGCCAGAGCCCCCCTGATGCTCCATGCTCACAGGGAGCCATCGGGAAAGGTCAGGAGGGCGCCTTCAGCTCCCAGTTGTTCCTTGGTTCAGGTTCAGGGAAGCCAGAGTATAACCAGGTTTCTGGTCTGGTGTCAGCAGTGACGCTCCCTGCCTCAGCCACAGAAGGGGAGTTTATAATCCTCCTTCCTCCAACTTTTTGGGAATCTGGAAATGGGGGGCACAGCTTGGCCTACTGAAAGGAGCACGGCTTGGGCATCAGGCGATCAGTATTTAAATCCTAGCTCTGCTGCCTTTTCTAGCTGCCTAACTGTGGGCAATTTCCCTAACCCTCCCTGGTACCTTCGTTTCCTGGTCTCTAAAATAAAGATCATAATACCTGCCCACGTGGCTAAGGGGAGGGAGTGGCTGGCACCAGCAGGCCACAGCACCGTTGGTTGCCTTCTTGATGTCTCTCCCCCTTTCCCTTTTCCTCTCCTAGAGCCAGAACCCCCTGGTCCGGCAGGCCACGTGAGGCTGACCTTTCAGGGGGTGACCCTGCCCACTCTGGAGCAATGGAACTTGCAGGTCTAAGAATCTGGGTCAGAGGGCCCTTGTTCTCTGTCCAGACCAGAGGCAGCCCCTGGCTTGACCAGTGTACCACGCTGCTGGACAGGATCATGCCCCAGAAAGGCTGGATTAGCCCAGGATCCTGGGAGCCAAATTCTGGGCTCTGGTTGGGTTGGCTGAGCCACAATCAATGCTGCTTTCAACTTTTCAAATGCATCCCCGTCAGTTGCTCCAGCTAATGATAAAGTGCTCCTCTGAGCTCGCATTTGTCTTCACCCCCGTGTGAACAGCTCCCTTAGGAAGTCACATGGGGGAGATGACTGGCAAGCAGCACTGGGCATCCAGGGGTTGGTCTCCAAACCAACCCCACCTCCCACAGTGGTGGCTGGGAGCATGCCCAGGACAGTGCCCCGGGGAGCCTTGTGCTCCTATGCACTGGCACCCTCGCTTGCCTGCTTCGTCCCTTCCTCTCTTCCCACATGTCACATTTCCAAGGCCATCAATTCACATCCTGCTTCCTCCCAGGCTCCCACTCCGTATTTCAATCACAAGTCACCGCAGCAGACTTCAAAGCACATCAGAGCGCAGTTATTGAGCCCCAGTAACAACATGTCAGTGGACGCGGAGCTTTTCACGTCACCTGTCACCGAGATGGCTATCTCTACTGGGTTCTGCAAGGGCGGAGGTTCCAGTCTCTCCCGGGGTAATATAACAAACTGCTCTGCTAATTTCCAAAGCTTCATTAGGAAAGGGCCACAGGTCGTCCCCAATTATCATATCCATGTCCTCTGGGCTCTTCTCTCTGACGCAGGACAGGAGACTGCCAGGCTTGCTCTGTGGGTTAATGGAGTATAAAAAGGGAAACTAAACTGACCACTGTATATAGTCATTTTTTTCTGACAGGAAGAAAATAGAAGTGTCAAACCTTTAGCAGGAGCCGTAATTTACCAAAGAGAATTCTTCAGTTATCCCCTTTCCAAGGTAACTCATCCCCTCTCAGGGATGCCTGCAAACACAGTTGATTGCAACATTGCAGGCAGGACGGCGGAAGGAGGGGTCCAGGCTGGCTGCAGTAGCCAGGGAATGCTGTAAGGGAATTTTGGTTCTGGAGGCACCGTCTGTGTGTCAGCCCCTTTCCTGCCTGTGAGCTCTTGGAGTCTTTACACTCATTCTATGAGGCGGGTATTCCTGATCCCATCTCAGTGAAGGTAAGCTGAGGTACAGGAGAAGGGACAGAATCCGCCCAAGATGGTGAGGTTTCCTTAGAGGATCTAATAGTGGGTTTGGGTGCTGCGGGGAGGTAGCCCAGCCAGGGACCCGAGGGCTGGAGTCTCCAGCGCACTCCTGCTGGGGAGCTCTGAGACAGAAGGTGGGGGTAGTAGGGAGAAGACAACCAAAGTCCCATAGAGACAGGTCCTCTGGTCACTAAAGAATGGACTCAAACAGGGAATGACTTTAAGGGAAAGATGTCAAGACTTTGGAATGACTTTTCAATCCACCCATAGACTCAATTACAGAATTTGGGCTTTGCTCCTACCTACAGGTGAGTATTGTGGGCCCAGTGAGCAGGGCAGAGATGGATGGATACCACCATCAGAAGGGAGAGGTGATCTCAGAGTGCAGGGTGAAAACGCAAAGGCTGAGAAGCCCCTAATCATGGAGAACAGTTTTCCCTTATGTCCTGGGATGCAGTTCTTTAAATGACTCATGAGCAGAAGGAGAAATTCTTCAGTGGAAGAGAAATACAGGAAATATGGTTGCAGGAGAAGCCAGAAAAATTCCTGGGAAGGATAGGCTATAAATGACCTTGGAAAACACGAGCTTCAGAGTCAAAGGTCCATGAGTTTGAATCTTGGCTTTGCTGTGTGACCTTGAGAAAGGAATGGGAGCCTTCCTTGCAGGTATAGCGAGGAGACTCACCACTGCGGACCCTTTTAAGGACTACTCAGGGCCTGGTACACACCGGGAAGTGGCAGTTTGCCTCCCTCCTCTTTGATTAGAACCAGTTTGAAGAAATGATTTATTTTTGTTTGGTTGGGGGTCTGTTTTATTTTTCAGAATCCAAAGAATCTGGGTACATACGATTGGAGAAAATCACAAATCATTCAAGTTCATTAGGAGCCAAGCATAGGAAGATTTGAAATGATCATCCCCATTTCCTCTTAACAAGTACTGACATCTCATGGGAAATTTAGGATCCAACTTTTTTTACTCCATAAAATCCTATTTATAGAATTTCTTTTGTGTTCATCTTTCTCTGTGGAAAAAAAAGAAGCTTTTTGTTTGTTTGTTTTCTGGAGAGGTTTCTATAAGGGAAAAGCTAACAAATTGTCAATATTTATTTTAAAAAGCCAAGACAAAACACATATCTAAACACGGGGTAGGGGGAGGGAATAAGACAACTCTCATTTAAAATGTACGCCTTTTTAAAAGCCATAGCTACCCCAGGCTCAGAATCCCATGGTATTGCTGGAAAGGGGTCATCAAGAAAGGGGAGATTTTTCAAGGTCACAGAGGAATTAATGACATAGGGAAGCAAGGCCCCTTACACTTCTATTCTAGA